GGAGCATGACCACTGCATCCCCCTCATGCCGGGATCAGCCCCGACCAATGTAAGACCCTACCGATACCCTTACTTTCAGAAATTTGAAATTGAGAAGCAAGTTCAAGATATGCTTAAGCAAGGGATAATACAGCCCAGTCACAGCCCATTCTCGTCATCGGTACTATTAGTCAAGAAAAAGGATGGGACGTGGCGGTTTTTGTATTGATTACAGAGCCCTTAACAGCATCACCATTAAAGACCGATTCCCGATACCAGTCATTGATGAGCTGCTTGATGAACTCAGTCAAGCCACCATATTCTCAAAACTGGATTTACGAGCGGGGTATCATCAAATAAGGGTACATAGGGAGGATGTTCAGAAAACGGCTTTCAGGACACATGATGGCCACTATGAGTTCCGGGTCATGCCATTTGGACTGATCAATGCTCCAGCCACATTTCAAGCCTTGATGAATTACATATTCCGGCCATATTTACGTAATTTCATCCTTGTTTTCTTTGACGACATATTGGTCTACAGCCCCAATTGGGAGGAACATCTGAACCATCTACAGGTCACCCTTGCAACACTTGAGGCCCACCAGCTGTTCACTAAAGAGCCCAAGTGCTCCTTTGGACAAAACCAAGTTCACTACTTGGGACATGTAGAAAAGGGGACTGTAACGGCTGACCCAGATGAAATCTCCAGTATACTGGGCTGGCCGCAACCCAAATGTGTGAAAGAATTGAGGGCCTTCTTGGGACTGTCCGGGTACTACCGCCACTTCATCAAAAACTACGACCTAATACACTCCTGGATCGAGTGGCAGATGCCCTCTCACGGCACCCACAGTCATTTCAGTTACTAGTATCTTCCCCAACTTCTCCACTCCTGGATCTACTGCGAAAAGAAGCCCAATCCCATAAGGAGTTACAGTAGTTGAAGGCCCAAGTATTGGCAAATCCCTCACTGCACCCCGGGTACACAATTAAGAATGATCTACTCTTCTTCAAAGGACGCCTGGAAATCCCGGCAGCCTCTTCTCATCTCAGAAAGCTCCTGGAATTATTCCATGCCTCACCCACGGGTGGCCACTCTGGCATCCTACGAACACAAAAGCGCATCGCCACACAATTTCATAGGAAAGGCATGCGTACATCTATCCATAACTTCATAGTCGAGTGTGCAGTATGCCAACAAAACAAGTCAGCCACTACAACACCAGCAGGCCTCTTGCAACCACTCCCAATACCAACCCGTTTCTGCCGGGTTGCCCGTTTCTGCCGGCAAAACAGTTATCCTTGTGGTAGTAGATAGACTGACAAAATACAGTCATTTCCTACCTCTGTTACACCCATTTACAGCAGCCACAGTTGCTGTATTATTCCTCCGGGAAATTGCGCACCTACATGGGCTCCCCAACTCAATTGTATCAGACAGGGACCCTATCTTTATGAGCCGTTTCTGGGCTGAACTTTTCCGCCTACATGGAGTTAAACTATTCAAGTCAACTAGCTACCACCCCCAATCTAATGGACAGACAGAGGCGGTTAACAAGAGTCCCGAAACATATCTGAGATGCTTCGCGGGAGATCGACCAAGACAATGGGTGAAGTGGATCCACTGGGCCGAATGGTGGTACAACACCACTTTCCATAGCGCCGTGGGGATGACACCCTTCAGAGCTTTATATGGTTGGGACCCTCCCCCTCTACTTCCTTATGAAAAAGGAACCACCACAGTAGCGGCCGTTGAAGAACAGCTAACGCAACGGGATGAGGTGCTAAGGGAACTGAGACATCATCTCTTACAAGGCACAGCAATGGATGAAGCACACCTATGATAAACACCACAAGAATGTCCAATATGAAGTAGGTGATTGGGTGTTTCTCAAATTACAACCCTTTAGGCAGATTTCGGTTGCAAGCCGACAGCGGAACAAACTCAGCCCGCGCTATTTTGGCCCATTTAAAATCCTGGAGAGAATAGGATCAGTGGCCTACAAACTGGACCTTCTGGAAACATCCAAACTGCACCCTGTATTCCATATCTCCTTACTGAAGAAGGGGCCGAAGTCAGGAGTCATTACAAGTGCGATCCTTCCCATATTTTCAGAAGGACAAGTGCAGACTGAACCAGCCCGCATCATTGATTTCAAATGGGTGCGCCAGGGAGGCAAAGTCATACCAGAGGCATTAGTTGTTTGGTCTAGCCTTCCGGAAGAGGATGCAACCTGGGAATCCTACTTATATCTGCAATCTAATTTGGGGGATTGTCAAGACTGCTGGAACAGACCAACAGAAGGCAGTTAAGCAGTTTTACAAGAGGAGGCCACGTCAGCACAACTAACCATCCACTTGTAACAACTTCCTTGTAACAACTGTAACAATCAAGATTGTAAAACTATAAGTAGTAGAGCAGGAAAGGGAATAGGACATTGATTCTTTCAGCATTAAACTCTCTCTCTCTCTCTCTCTCTCTTTCTTTCTCTCTCCTTCCAAGAATTCAGGAGGTTGGCCCCTCGAAGAGCCCTGAGTTAGGCAGGTTCATGACATACATACCTTAAATGGGATTTAACTGGGATTTAACTTATATAAACAAGTGGGAAGAGATGGGCTTCGCATTTGGTATTATTAGTTAGAAAAGATAAGAGTTTCACTTTATGTAGATTTCCTGTATGCGCTCTCCCATCAGTGTTATGGGGTACCTGTTTTATATAGTAAAATATTAATGCTGGCATTCTATTGTTAATTTGTGATATTTATTGTTTTTTTTTTAATTTTTGGTTGAAATCCTGAATGTCTTCTTTTACAATAGGGATGACTCTTTAAGAGACCATATAAAGTTTTTGGAACATCAAGGTATAGCAGGGGTCAGTCATCACAGTTTGCTCTTCTCCAAAACAGAACCTGTACCATTAGTAGAAGACGATGAAGGAACATTACGGTGAGAACTCAATTTTAACCATCAATGATATTTAGATGTTAAAATTCATGATTGTATATACATGGGTGGTTTTCCTAACATAAAGAAAACTTTTCATTTTCCTGTTGATCTAGATATATCAAACCTTTTTATTTGAACTATAATTCCATTCCATCAATGGTTTCACAGGAACTTGTGATTGAACATGGCTGGGCTGCTCATTCTTGTTATGTATGACCAACCACTTAGGTTGCAATATGAATATTAACATTAAAAGATCTAGTTATATATGTAATATTTTGAAAACAAAAGAAGTATATTAGGTGAGGAGAAAAATGTCCGTAAAGCAGCACAAGATGAAAAAATCTAGCGATGTACAAAAAACAAATGATTGCTTTTGCACGTAAAAACCTATTTGAATATACAAGGAGAGAAACAATTAGATCTTGAATAAAATCAAGATGGAAATTACTTCAATTTTATGAAGTTGCTTCTTGGTATTGCTGCCCCAATAATGTGGGACATTGTAGCTTTTCTTTCAACAAGATTAAATTTGAGGAATTCTAGTATGTGTTTATGCAACTTTTGGATAACTTGCCCCATTCATGATGAGACTTTTGGAAAGGTGTGGTACAAAACAAAATTAGGCACTGGTCCCATGTTATCTGTAGCATGCAGTAATGAGGAGTTCCATAAACATATTGTTTACTAGCATTCATCATTATATTTTGTTCATGTTTTGACTTCACAAAATGTTAGACTGCCCCATGGATCATCCGGATTGTTTCCTAAAGTTGGTTACATTGGAGTTATTTATTTTGGAAAAGAAACATAACTTTCATAATTTATGATAAAATAGATCGAGTACAAAGGCTGGAAAAGTCCAGTCATCTATACAATACAGCTCCATTACAATTTAACTGAAGATAATAATCTTTTTTGTTGACACTGAGCAGAAGAAAGCAAATTACTTTTGTGGGAAGATCATCTTCAAGATATTCAGTTGAACCCAATGTTGATGGGTGAGGCCCCTGAATAACATATCAATGATGTTCTCTGTAATCTCATATCTTGCAGTGGTAAAACAATATAGAATATATACCTTACAATTGACATCTATCGCAGGGCTCAGTATGCATTCAAACCAAAAGATGTCAGCATACACAGAAAAAGTGCTGCCTCTGGTGGTCCTGGCAAACTAAAAGTTGCAGATATAAAAGAGAGAATTGAACGGCTCTCTCATATTTTGGCAAACAAGGTATTGTGACACTTCAAAACTTAAGTTCAAAGAGTAAAGGCCTGGCAAGTTCACTTGATCTACTTTTATAGTTGGGTAAAGTTTATGGTCGAGAACTCCATAGTTTTTTTTTCCTTTTTAAGTATTTATACATATCGGATCATACAGGCAGATACATATTGTTTTTAAGGTTATTGGTATGTGGCATTGGTGGAATGGAAGAAACTCAACTTTATTCCACCTGTATCCACAGTATCAACTGATACTTTCATGGTATGATCTGTACCTGATCCATATTAGCCAACAGGGCCCAATATTATTGATATATTGGCCAAGATGTTCCACTTTTTTTAATATATCATGTCCTCACTCTGATGATTACTCATTAACTCCTAAATTCAAGCCTTATCTCATAATGAACTCCTGTATTTAAGGCAACTATTCAAATTCCAATTTGGTTGGTTGACTTTCTCACACGCAATTAAATTCCCCTAATTACTTTAGTTCATTTTCCCTGGGTATGAAAACTACAAGTATGAAGATTTTAACCTTGCTCTTTAAGTTGAAAGACAACAAATCTTACACTATGCTCTGCTATGATTACTTGTCATATTTACATTTATTTTGAATCTTAACATTTAGACATCCTCTTCTTACTAGATGCTTTTCAATAAAAGTTAAAAAATTGATAATGGAAATTTATATATATATATATATATATATAAGTATAAACACTATTCTATTTATTTTTCTGAAAATTGAGATTCACTCGTATATTTATATTTATATTTATATTTCAGTTCTTCCATCAATTATACTGTTTACCAAGTTGGTCCAAATTGTTCAACCTCACACTTCACACTTCACATAAACTATTAAAGTACATGTTTCTTATTTGTATTTAGCTTATTTATAGTCAAATAAAACTTACATTTAATGTTATTGATATATTTTTTGGGATTTGTTTAAGCTTTTCTAGTGTATCCATGAACATCTTAATTTTTTCATCATATCCATGTGTATCTAATGCACATTGTGATATATTGCTTAAAATTGCTTTTCCAATAATCTTTGTGCTTTTGATACTTAGAATTTTGGTTTCGTCACATTATATCCTCAAAAAAAAATATTTGAATTAATCATTTGTTGCATTTTTTGGATGAAGACGCAGCTAGCCAAATGTTGAACTTGCTACAACTAACATGTTGCTGAAAATGTATATTTGGTCTGGTCTAAAAATAACCCAAATAAGATGATCTCCAAATCACATAATTTAATTTTGTTAATATTTCTCCAAATAACATGATCTGTTGTATTTGAAACAATGTGTTTCAGACCACAATTTCAAGGTTACCAGATAAGGGAGAGAGAATTCGAAGGCAAATTGCTGAACTAAATTTAGAGCTTGATCAGCTTAATATGATGGAAGAGAGAACTGAGAAAGAAGTTGATTTGGATGACATCTCTGGGGACCTTCAGCGGGTGTTGACTGTATAAAGTTTGTTCCTTTTTTTTCCCTGTATAGCAACTCTTGTTGTCATCAATATTAAAGTGAAGTATCTTATTGAACCAAGTAGCTTTGTAAGAATGTTAGTTTGCTCTGGACTTGTTTGTGACACGAGATCTTGTTAGAACCATGTCAACATCAAGTGCAAGTCCATTGTGGATGATGAATGTATGCTCTTAAGTGCTAACAATTTACAAAAGTAGAATTGAAGTCGTTTACAGTTTCAAGAGATGAATACCATTTATACTTTATTAACATCCAATAATTGGTCTCTTGATGCCTTAATTCTAGTTGTGACTTACTCCATGGCCTGCCCTGAACCAAGTAGTGAAGAACTTGAAAGGGTAGATTTCAAAACCACTAAGCCTCCATGCCATTGACCCAACCTGTTTTCTGTATACAGATCCGGCCCAAATATGAACTTTGATAGTTGTTTCTTGCGCGTGTGTGTATCTTGTGCTGCAAGCTATTTATCTTGGGCACCAACAAAATAAAAAGAGCGTGGGAGTGTTGAGACAATTGAGAGAGTGCTTTAGGAGTATTGGAAGGTAGGGTTTAGTTCTCTATTCTATTATTTCTATAGTGGATTTCTTCTTTGATGCCCATGGATGTAAGTCATAAGCCAAATCAGGTAAACTTTTGTTATTGTTCTTTATTGTTATTGTTATTGTTCTTTGATGTTCACCTGCTTTATTGTTATTGTTCTTTCTCCTGCTCTGTTTATTTATCCTTGGGTTATGAATTGCAATTCTGTGCTTTTTAATTGGGGCATTGTGATTTTAGTGTTCTTGAAGGATTTGCATTGTGATTTTGGGATTCACTACAATAATTGATTGGTATTACTAATGAGTTTATGCATTCAAATGCCAAGAAACTCAAAATGAGATGATTGAAGTGTGTATAAGAATGGTTTCATATACAACAAGCTGATAATGAATGACATTTTTAAATCCTACAACCATCATAATCCATATTGCCTGATACCCAGGTTGGTGTTCAGTGTTGAATGAATGTGATGAAACAATATAATGTAGTTTTGCTTAGATTTGTTTCATGCATTTGTGAACTCTATTTATGAATTGTCACATTTAAGGTGTACTCTAATTATGAATTGTCACTGACAAAAAACATATTATTGAATTTTTGGTTTTAGAAACATGTTTTTTGAGATTTGTTTGTTTGATTGATTACATAATTGTATACATACACCTTTTTTGACTTTGAAAAAGCTTTTTTTTTCACAATAAGGCATTTATATTCCTTAAAAAGTATGGAGAGGAGAGTAGAGATACACTATTACATAATGCATATGCACGTGTGAAACAATGATGTACTTTAAGAGGCACACTTGTTCATACATTGTGTGCATCCGCATAGGGCCGTTATAAGTATTCTTCGATTTCCATAATAGTGGTGTTAATCTATGTTCAATTCTAATTATGGTTTTGGTTGTGAAGCTAGATTTAAATGTGAATCTGGTGTCGACTTTATGGGTTTTGATGATAATAAATACATTAAGAGTACTAATGGTGTATTTAAGTGTACAACATCTTTAATGAGTTTTTCTGTTCTTAATTGGTATGCAAAGATAGAATGCTACATATGATCAAGTAGAAGCTCTACTAAATAGCTATATATGCTTCAATGTGAATTTACACCACCATCATCTTTTCTCCAACTAAAGAAGTTCAAAGAAATCAAGCATCAAAGTTGTTTAAGAACTTRAAAGGCTTGGAGCTAGTGAAGATTGATCTACTACAACAATTCATTAAAGAGTCAAGATTTATACATCAAGTTGTATTTATTTGTTTTTTATCTTTTCTAGAAATGATGTAAATTAGTTGCATGATATACTTTATAGACGTTGAACAAGATTGGACTCTCTTAGATATCATGATCTTTTTAGGTTTGATTCCTTGGCTTTCTTGAGCATGAACAAGTGTTTGGGCTATTTATTAGGCAAATTAGACTTGACAGTGAGAAGTAGTCAACTAAGATAAATGCATTGTCTAACTATGATAACCGAGGCATCCAAATTGCCCAACTTGAGATGTATCGACTACTTAGTAAACATGTGTTAACTACACGTACTGATTGAATTCACAAGCTTACCAGTTGACTGTTAAGGAGGAACCAGTCAACTAAAGAAGAAAAAGAAATTTCTCCCTTTGCGTTGTAGTTGGCAATCAGAGCAGTGTAGTCGTCCACCACAGAAAATTTTACCATTTGTAGGCTCCAACGACTATTATTAAATATGGAAATCTTCTCTAGCGGTTCTCATTATTATTACTGTACTTAATTGTTGACTGCCACTCCTACAACTCCTACTACTATCTTGTTATAGCTATAGGTTTCTTAGTTCAGTAGTTTGTTTGCTTCAAATGTATCATCTTGAATAACTGTTGAACCTAATTGACAAAGCCTTCAATATTTTGCTGCACGTTATATGTTGTAAAGCTTAGATTCAATCTGAGGCGAAGGATCCTAAGCTTGATTGTCCAGAGTCCATGAATTCAGATTGAATTCCAACATAATTAGAGTTTTTAAAGCTCTACCCAATTCACCCTTTCTTGGGTAAGGCCATCGGTCCCAACATCTAGGTGGGGATCCTACTACAATTTTCACAATAGAATTTGCAAAAATTTGTGTAGAAATTATATGCAACATCATGCGGTGGTTGAATTATGACCATTGATGCTTAATTTTTAATGTAATGATGTTGACTTGATTGGGTGTGATCAAGAGACTTCATATATATGTTTAACATTTATTAACTATTAGCTAATTGTGAATAGTCACTTCATTTAAATTCGTGACTATACAGAGAGCCTCTTCAAATAGACTTGAAACTTTCCATGTGATTTTTCAAAATTAGTAAAATGACTATAAGTCAAGCCGTTTTTACACATGGTTTATTACATAGAATTTTTGTCTCTCCAAATGTTTCATATTGTTGTTTTTACACATGATTTTTCAAYTTTTGGTTATGGTTTATCATCCGAGGCTCTATTGTATCTTAGAAACAAAATTGCCTACAATCAAACGATAAGCTAAGTCAATTAAGTGGGGACAAATAACATTTCCAGCAATGTTTTGATCTTGTTATTTAATATTAGGTTCAATGAATCACATAATTTTTACACTATTTTTTTTGTTTTAAATACCATTATTTTGATGGTTACAAAATCATGTATTGTTTTTTGAAACAAAACCAACTTGTTTCTCTTTGAAAACATAAGTCTGTTTAAAAACATGTCTTTTTCCCTGCTAATGTGGCAAGTTCAAAAACAAATGAAAACAAAAGCATTCATGTTGTAGAAAACCTCCTCAAGGCTCAGTTTGGAAAGAGTACAAGTACAAATATGTACAGTGCAAATACATAGAAAAATAATACAAAATACAAAGTTTTGTATTCTATATATTTGTATTTATACTCCTTCCAAATTGCCTAATGTTTTAAATACTAATAAGCATTGTATTGGTTTTAAAGCTGGTGTGGTATTAGGGGTGCAACTTGAACGGGCCCAACCTGAGCTTGAGCAGGCCCAGCCCACAATTTTACACAAGGTGGGCTTAAATTTTCGGTCCTTCGGCTGGGCCTGGTTCCAAAAGTTCAGACTCTTAAATTTTTTAGGCTAAGTTTGGGCCTAGCCTGAGACTGGCCTGAGACTAATTAGACCTTATCCCAACCCAATTATATACATGTATATATGTGCATAAGTAGATGCATATTTGCATACATGTATATGTGCATGCATACATGTATGCATGTATATGTGCATAAGTAGATGCATATTTGCATGCATACATGCACATATTTTAGCCCTTGGTTGCCCAAACCTGGCCTGAGACTAATTAGACCTTATCCCAACCCAATTATATACATGTATATGTGCATAAGTAGATGCATATTAACATGCACATATTTTTAATAAACTATACATATATGCATACATGCATGCATATACACACATGTATATCAATTTTTAGTGTGGGCTAATTGACCAATCTTAACCTGACCCGGGTTCAATCCCAACTCAAATTCATCAATTTTAGTGTGGGCTGAGTTCAGGCTGAATAATTGGAACTTGACCTCGAGCACAGGCTTTAGACCCAATTCTTAGGGTTGGACTTGGGTTGAGCTAAAACCTGACCTAGCCCACCCGACTTGCACCTCTAGGTGGTATGCGTGGAACGCCCCAACTTTTGAGTCATCACGCCTATACTTTTTGGTAGGCTCATTTATCATTGAATTTGATTTTTTGAATTTCGATATTTCTTGTCTAACCAATTTGAATTTTAGTTGTTCATTTGGTCTAATTATGGTGCATTTTAAATATTTTCTCCATGAATCAAATTTTAAGCAATCATGTTAAAATTTCTCTAGATCTCTTTACTTTTCTTTGGCTCACGTTTCACAAAGAAGGGATGAGAAGAACTTTCAAAATGAAAGCCAACTGAACACCAAACCAAACTGGGAAAGAGGTTACTGAAATAAATTAAAAAGTGCTCAAGGGTTTCATCATTTTGTTCACACACCCGACACTAAATGCCATTAAGCCCATTCAAAGCTTATAAATAAGACGCCTATTCAAAGGCCATTTAAAGCATTATATATATATATATATATATTAATTATTAAAAACACTTCTATAGTCCTTTTTTAAAGTTGTCTATAAAATTATATTATATGTATTCTACATCCATCCTAATATTTTTTTTGAAGGCTAAAGGAGGGCTACAATTGAATCAAGTTTTAATCGAATAGTTTGGGCTTGAGTTTAATTAGGCTCGGTTCAAGTTAGAATTGATTTTAAATTTCAAGACAAGCTTGATTAGTTATTCAAACATGATTTCAACTAATAAAAAATTTGGCTCAAAAGCTCATGAATCTGGCTAAATGAGAATACACACACATATATATACCTTTTCGAGCTTAATAATATTTTAGTTAAACAGAGCCAAGACATAGAGAAATTTGACTCAGCTTGGCATGACTGCACCTCTAGGCCAAAGGCTGGAAAATTCATTCAATAACCAAATTTTAATGAAATTTGATGAAATTTCAATCACATAATATTTAATTTAATGCTTATTAAGACATCTAAATAAATAACAATAGTTCTAAATTTTAACGTTTCTAATCACTTTTTTTAATGAAATTTCTCTTGTCGACATAATATCATCGACTACAAAATTAAAAATAAAGAAAATAATCAATTTATCACTAAATGTAGTTTTCTTAAATATT